ATTCAAAAAATTCATTCATTAAAAAAAATTTTATCGAATGATCTAAGAAAAACAATTGGTTCTGCCAAAAAAATTATATGCTCCCCTGAAGAGATTTTCTGTCATGTTGAATTAATTTGCTTGTAGACAAAAAATAAAGTTTCCACCAAAAGATGATAATTTTCGTAGTAGTAATTGTTCTCGTGAGACATTTATATTGAATTTTCGTGAAAGATATTAAACTTCCTTCTATCAAGTTGATTAATTTCCCTCAAGTAAATCCACTCCACTCCATCAAATATTCTCACCTGGAACGTATAGTTTTTCGCCAGAGCTAATTTTTTCTCTCAGTGTGAAACAGAAAAAAAAATCCATTAATAAGAGCTCCCATGATGCCACCTAATTGCTAATTAAAAACGTCTGAAAACTGAAATTCAATCCAATTTACCAAATCCATATTTATTCTCCAATACCCCTATCCCCAAACGAATGGAAGGAATTAGTAACGGCACTATTTGCTCATGCAAAGCCTGAAATAATGAATCCAGATGCGAAAATTCTCTGGAAATTGGATTCCACCGTATATTGTTTAATCGACATTGACGTCGGGCCAAAAAGCCGATATCCAGAGGCGTTTGTCTACAATGAATTTATTGTAAAATAGTACGCCCGCATATAGCGACCTGTGACCTCGGCAAATAACCGGTTTATTCCCCCCTTTTACATCCACCATTCAATCCTCTTTTTACTACTGTTTCATTGTTACGAGTTCGAATTGACGGTGATAAAACACGTATTCTCCATTATTTTCCACCCAAACATCATCAAAATTTGGCATGCGAAATAAAAAAAAATGAATGAAAGTGAAAATAATTTTTTTTTTAATAAAATGAAAATGGAAGAATGAAAATAAACGTATACTGTCGAAAATTTTCGTCTTCATTTTCCAAATCAACTCCTGGAAAATCAGGAAAATTCAGGGAAAAATTGAAAATTTATGTCATTTTGTTTTTGAATATTCATGTTCAGAACCAAAATGACATTGTATTCTCCATTATTTTCCACCCAGACATCATCAAAATTTTGGATCCGAAATAAAAAAAAATGAATGAAAGTGAAAATAATTTTTTTTTTAATAAAATGAAAATGGAAGAATGAAAATAAATGTATACTGTCGAAAATTTTCGTCTGAATTTTCCAAATCAACTCCCGGAAATTGAGAAAAATTAATCAACTCCCGGAAAATCAGGGAAATTCAGGGAAAAAGTGAAAATTTATGTCATTTTGTTTTTGAATATTCATGTTCAGAACCAAAATGACATTGTATTCTCCATTATTTTCCACCCAGACATCATCAAAATTTGGCATGCGAAATAAAAAAAAATGAATGAAAATGAAAATAATTTTGTTTTTAATGAAATGAAAATGGAAGAATGAAAATAAACGTATACTGTTAAAAATTTTCGTCTTAATTTTCCAAATCAACTCCCGGAAATTGAGATAAATTAATCAACTCCCGGAAAATCAGGAAAATTCAGGGAAAAATTGAAAATTTATGTAATTGTTTCTGAATAATGTCCCATTGAAAATTCAATCAATTCGTGAAATTTTCGTTTCACTCCCACTAAACACTCATGAATTTCCTCGAATTCTGCAAAAACTTGAAATTTTATAACCATTTGTCCCCTAAATGGAATTCAATGTCACTTTCATAAGAATTATTACAATACTTTCCATGAAATTTCAAAAAATTTCCAACAGTGTATATCATTTATCGTTTTATATTATTTCTTTCAATTGAATTATATTTCTTCTTCAATCAATTGTGTTGGATTTCTCGTAAAAATTCTTGTATAAATCAAATGAAAGAATGATGCTATGTATATTATCTTGAAACATCGATAAAACGGTATTGGAAAAACTTTTTTCATGCATAATTGAATGAATTTGAAATATCATATTTGAAGAAATCGTCGGAAAATCCACTTTCAGGGGAATTTTCGAAAAATTCGAAATTTGCAAAAATCATCATAAAAATCAAACCAACGGATATAGCTGTCGTGATGCTCTTCTAACTCCGACAGGGTGGCATTGAAACAAATATTTTGAGCTATGATTGAATCAATTTGAAGCATGATATCATATAATATAATTTTTGAAAATTATTCTATAAATCAAAACAACGATTATTACTATCGCCTTCATCATCGAACTCGATCAAAGAAACATCGAAACAATTCTTTAAGCCATCATTCACTGAATTCAGAACATTTTCTCTGAGTTATTGTGGGACCACCGATTAAAAAAAAATCAAAAATTCTCAAAATTAATACATGAATTAAGTTTCAATTAATGTCGATGAATAAGACTCAAAAATACCCACACTTGAACGAGAACCCATTAAATTCCACTGATTCATTACCTACCATTAGCATACGTAATGGATTGATATACCACAAAAAATTCAAAACTTCAAATCAATCGATTAAAAACCTTCCAGTCGTCGGCAAAAAATGTTCTGGGAGTTGAAAAAAATCGAATTGACTCCCGAGTAGGTCCTGATTGATGTTGCTGTCCCCCTCCCGTGGCCAATGATTATTCCGACAGGAAGGAAGCCGATGGAGAAGCTGCTGCATATCAATCCCCCTGGCATTCGCGCTTCTTCATCTCTTCTCATCCACGCCACGGCTCATTGTGCATTATTTAGGTGCGCCCAGAGCTCCAATTACCCGTCCCCTCTCTCCTCTAGTGTTTCATTGTATCACCAGTCGCCTCGAGTCATGCGACATCCATCGATCGATGAATTCTTTCTATTCGTCTCGTTTTCACTGACAATACCGATTGTAATTGCTTCACTACATCGTATTTTTTTATTTTTCCGCGAGAATTGTTCCGTAATTCTCTGAATTGTTGAGTATTCTGGGTGGCTTGGATGAACAATAACATTGGAATATAATTTTTACTGCAATTTTTGTTTCAATTCAAGAGATGAAGTCAGTACGAAGAAAATGACAAAAATTCAATTATCGATAACTCGAGATTGGCTGAGTGGAATTTAATAAATTTAACGCCATTTTGAAGGTTTTTTCATTAGTTTTGAAATGAGATGTAATACACCAAAATTGCTCCACTGAGCCGTGAGATATTTGATGTTGAATACAAATCAATTTTCACCCTGAAATAAACTCAATAATAAAGTGAAGTAACTTTAATCCTAAATAACTCGACACTGGCTGAGTGAAATTCGATAACTCTGATCCCATTTTGAAGATATTTTTATAAACGTTAAAATTAGTGCTGACACATCTAAATCGTATCGTTGGATCATCCGACATTTGAGATTGAAGATGGAAAAAACGTTACTTTTTCCGAATTCAGGGCGAAATCTTTCGATAATTTTGGAATCACCTGAAATCTATTGATTTCAGAAGAAAATATCGTCAGAAATTCTTGTAGAGAATTTAATTTCACAAAATGAATGTCCTTTGATATCTCCTCCTTAAGCCCCCCGCGGCCGAAGTAATTTAAAACTTCCAACACACGTCTAAAAAACCTGTTGTCTTATCGCTTCGCTACTGAACTCAATACTAAACAAAGTTATCTCACGCGATATTTCTTGCGACACTGGCACGTCGTTTGTTTACATCCTCTCCCGAGAATCATGACAAATTGCTGAAACAGTTAATTCCCCACATAAAATTTCAATCATTATGAATAAAACGCAAAGTTCATTCACCCGCATAAACTTCCCGATTTCTCTCAATCACAATTACAAACACGTAATTACCCCAATTCGATTTGTTATTGTTGATTAAAATATTTATCACAATTCAGAAAACTTTTCTGTTCTTAGTTGAAGGTCAAATTGTCTTGAGGGTCAAATGACCCTTTCTGAACCCTTTCTGACCCTTAATCCCCTCTTTGTTCAGACCCTTTTGATCCTTAATTCTAAAAATCCTCAAGGGTCATTTCACCGTCAGCCATTTGACCCGCAGCCCAAGACAAAAGAACAAAAAATGTCTTCTCATATTATTTCATGTACGGTCTTGAGGGTCCAACGACCCTTAAAATGATCGTAAGCGTCAAACGACCCTTAGGGCCCTTGAGGATGTCCTACTCTAACCCGTTTGACCCTTAAGACTGTCCTGTTCTTAATCCTAAATGTTTTTATGGATTGATAACCTGCAATTCCAAATGGTCTTAAGTGCCAGACGACCCTTCATAACGTTTGGAGTTGAGGGTCAAATCATGTTAAGGGGCAAACAAGCCTTAAAACCATTTGACCCTTGACGCTAAAGGTTTTTAAAGGTTCTTTGACCCCCAAGATCATTTGACCCTCAACTCCAAATGGTCGTAAGGGTTAAACAACCCTTGAGAACGTTTTGAGTTAAGATTCAAAAAATCTTAACGAGCAGACAACCCTTGAAGATTTGTAGGGTCAAGGGTCAAATGGCCCTTTCTGATGGCTCTGCTCTGACTCTTTCGACCCTTAAGATCATTTCACCCTAAAGGTTTGACCCTCAACTCCAAATAGTCGTAAGGGTCAAACAACCCTTGAGAACATTTCGAGTTGAAGGTCAAATCATCTTAAGAAACAAACGATCCTTGAAAACTTGTAAGATTAAGGGTCAAATGACCCTTTCTGATCTGCTCTAACCCTTTCAACCCTTAAAACCACATCACCCTTACCCCAAACGTCCTCAAGGGCCGCTGGACCCTTAAAACCCTTTGACCCTCAACTAAAAAGCAAAAGAAACCCAAAAAAAATGCTGAATAACCCCCATTCCCCCACCACCGCTCAACCAACAATCAATCTCCGTCATCTCCTTTTCGAAATCCAAGCGAAATTCAATGTTGTTCCACTCGCAATCAATGTCACGAGCCCCCCCCCCCAGCGATCTCTAAACGTCTGCACTTAACATGTGTTCAGCGACAGTAGAGAAACCCACGGGTAATTGCGGTTAATTTGCGGGATAAATCGAGGAACGTATCTCCTGCCTCAGTGAGCTCACGGCAGTCGCGTCGTTCGGTTCATCAAAAATCACGTCACCCCCAATAGGGATATAAAATAATTCAACCAATGTTCTCCAGTTGTATCGAAGATCCGTAACTCCTTACTGGGAAACTGTGTCTGTTGAAAACCCGTCGTGTTCTCTTTTACTCCAGTGAAAAACCCGTATCAGGTGGATGCCGAGGGCATTAGCTTCTCCCCGGTTCAACGGAACATTCAATTCAATTGAATTAATGAGAATTAACCATCACCGTGGTAACCCAGATATACTGGCAACAAAGTAACTGAATTTATTTCAACATTTGTTGAATCCATTCGGTTGTGATCTGACGTTTATTTTTGATTTTCCACTCACGCCTTTCAGCCAAAATACACTCACGTGATTCTGGCTAATGGACAAGAATATTGTGAATTATCCGGTTATTTCATCGTGCGTTTGCTTTCTGAATGGTTTTATAATGTAAACAAGTGGTTGATTACGTTTTCGGGGGATTTTGAGAGATATTTACGGGAATGATGATCGGAAATAGAAATTTAGCTTGAGATATTTGGGGGGGGGGGGGGAAGTAGAAAGGTATCGAGTTTCGTTGTTGAAGGGTCAAGGGTGAAATGGGAGGGATGAACGAAGTGATCGGAAGAGTCAACCCGGGAGCGAAGTGGTAAAAACGGTTCAAGTCGATTTTTACTATTGGTCAGTTTTCAATGAATCTCTCGGAATCTAAGGCAGATAGCAAAATTTTTGAGATAATCTTTTTTGTAGAGCGAATTGAGAACTACAAAAAAGGTTATGACGAAAAATTTGCTAGCTGCCTTAGATTCGGAGATATTCCTCGAAAACTCGACTTGGAGCAGGGTGTTGAATCGTTTCAAGGGTCAAAAGGAAGAGACGAGCGACGTGATGCCTCCACTTGTCTCTCCCATTAGACCCTTGGAACGTTTGACCCTTCGGATTACTCTGCTTGGCTCTCCCATTTGATCCTCAAGAATATTTGACCCTCATCCTGTCATGGGTCAACCGGGAGAGACGAACCAAGTGATCAGAAGAATTCAACTTTCTCAAGGGTCAAATGGAAGAGACAAACGGAAGGGTCGTAAGGGTCAAAAGGGAGAGTTGAGCGAAGTAATCACTCCACTGATCTCTCCCATTAAGCCCTTAATAACGTTTAATCCTTCTGATTACTCTGCTTGTCTCTCCCATTTAACCCCCAAGATTATTTGACCCTCGTACTGTCTCTCCCGTTTGATCCTTAAAGATATTTGACCCTTCTTCAATTTTTTGTAGTAACAGAGATAGAAGAAAAACCTCAATTCTACTTCAATTTCGTTGTTCAAGGGTCAAATGGGAGAGCCAGGGAGGGGTTAAAAGGGTCGAAAGGGAAGACAAATGAAGTGATCACTTCCCTCGTATCTCCCATTGGACCCTTCTGATTACTCTGCTTGTCTCTCCCGTTTGATCCTCAAGGATATTTCACCCTTCTTCATTTTTTTAAATAATAGAGATAAAAAAAATTATTCAATTCCACTCTAATTTCGTTGTTCAAAGGTCAACCGGGAGAGACAGGGAGGGATCAAAAAGGTCAAAAGGAAGAGACAAAGGAAGCGATCACTCGTCTCTCCCATTACTCTTAAGAATGTTTGACCCTCATCCTGTCTCTCCCGTTTGACCCATCATTTTTTTAAATACAAATAGAAAAAAAAATCACCCAAATTTTCCTCTACCATTTCACGTTGCCCTCATGTCACTCAAAAATAAAGAATTAAAAAACTCCAGACATTGCGCAACTGCCTCCCTCATCGATTCACCCCCCTATATTAAATATTCCTGGCTGCAATACCTCCCGACAGCCCCGAGGATTAATGCATTAAAATAAACACGACTTCTTCCTCAACTCGTTGAATTTTGTTATAAATACAAGAGAGACGGAAATGCGACGCAGTACAACGATAACGACTACGAGGCCGCGTAAAGTTGGCAAACGCCAGGCGTTTGGGTGAGAATGACGAGGTGAGACCGCTTCCACTCGTGACAGTTTCAACTGACTGTGCATTATTAAAGTAAAAGACTGATAAAAAGAAATAAGTGAGAGAGGGGGGAAAAAGTAATCAAGTGCAAGAGACTTGTGTGCATGCAACTCTGAGGATTTATTTGATTGAACTAATCAGATCTCAATCAAGAGTGATAGTAATTCAAGTTGCTCGGGGGGAAAGTTTAAATTTATAGAATGTTTAAGTTGTCATCGGCCAGGCAGGACAGGGAGGCATGGACGAAAGGTATTTTTTGTTTAATTTTTATTTAGTAAATTATTGCGCAATTTTCCACGAAAGGTGACGTGTTTAATTAATTTATTTAACGTTGATGCAATCATCTTATTAATCGTGTTTGCAGCTGTATCGGTTTTTACACAGAAAACAAATAAAATTATTACTGACTTGGAAAAAAATAGACTGCATTTTTTGTAATTAAACAAATGTCGTCGGAGAAAAGAATGAAAATAAAATGACATGATACTTTAATCTCAAGCTTCTGTTTCCTTCTCCAAGAGGGATTATCAGCTTTTCGTGAGAAAGGACAGACCTCGTAGTAGATAACATCGTGCCTACCGGAAAAAGAAAACAGAATCTCACTCATAAATGAATACACAAACCGCATGAATAAATCGGACGATTGAGATCACCGACAAACAACGAGTTTTCTGAGAATTTGAAGAGAGAAAAATTAATTACGGATGATTGAATAGAACTGTGCGAAGTAACGGTGAATCATCGGTCTAGGTTTGTGTGCAAGAAGAAGGGAAGAAAATCAATATAAAATTTCTGGTGCGAAGGGAATAGTTTGGAGAATGTGCGCACGACATGTACCGCACTTCGTTTCCAATAATCCGAGACAGCCGGGGTATTAGTTGAGTGGCTGGAAAGAGGGAGTGGTTTTTTTGATGGAAAAGAAACGAGACTCAAGTTCATCGACATGTGGTCCACACGTGGCGATGGCCAAACCTCGAGATTATGAGGGAAAAGTAAAAAAATTGGTTGTAGAATATTCAGTGGCGCTTTGGCTCAGTGGTAGCGTGCTGACAAAGCGTTGCGATGGGCCAGGGTTCAAAACCCGGAGAGAACTTGTATTTTTTTCTTCGGTTGTGACTTCTGTTCGGCACGGAATAATTGGTTCGGTGATTCCATGGGTTCCAATGGAACAATTGGGACTGTTGGAACAATGGTTCCGTTGAAATAATTGGGTTCATGGTTCCATTCAGAGAATGTTGTGACTCTTGTCTGGGATGGAGTAATTGGTTCGGTGATTCCATGAGTTCCAATGGAACAATTGGGACTGTTGGAACAATGGTTTCGTCGGAACAATTGGGTTCATCATACTTCCATCAGTTCCACCATGCAATCACATCACACAAGGACAAAATCCAACTGCGAAAATCACGATCCATCGACGCAAAAGCCGACGTCTTGCAAGCCTTTCTTCGTTGAAGGCTCACGTCAATCCAACCTGTCTTTCCAAGTTCGAACGCATATACCGAAAATACTGCGTACTAGAATGAACAAACGAAACTCACATTGATCGACACGTGGTCCACACGTGGCGATGGCCAAACCTCGAGATGATGAGGGAGAAGTAAAAAATTGGTTGTGGAATATTCAGTGGTGCTTTGGCTCAGTGGTAACGTGCTGGCAAAGCGTTGCGATGGGCGAGGGTTCAAAACCCGGAGAGAACTTGTATTTTTTTCTTCGATTGTGACGATTGTTGGGGATGGAATAATTGGTTCGATGGTTCCATAAGTTCCAATGGAACAATTGGGACTGTTGGAACAATGGTTTCGTTGGAACAATTGTGTGAGTTGGAATGATGGTTCCATTGGAATAATTGTGTTCATCATACAATCACATCACACAACGACAAAACCCAACTGCGAAAATCACGATGAATCGACGCAAAAGCTGAAGCCTACAAACCTTTCTTCGTTGCAGGCTCACATCAATCCACCCTTTCTCGACGCACTTTCCAAGTTCAAACGCAACCTCGAAAATACTGCGTACTCAAATCAATCTAGAACCCCCTAGCTCCAGCCGACACAAAATCCCAATTACTCTAAAAATACTTCTCAATCCCCTCCAAGAGCACTTCACCGAACGAAAAAAAATAATGAATGGGTTTCATGCATCTCAACACGACCATCATCATCATCTGAAAAAATATCCCGATATTATTTTAATAATCACAAGGCTCCAGAAGAAATTACAACTCCTCAGAATGAAACGCCAGAAAAAAGGGAGAAAATAATGCCCAAAGGATGACACATTTTTCGTTGTTCCTTTATTCCCGTTGAATGTGGTGGGCGGTTGAATGAATGTGCAGTTACCCAGAACAAGGGGGGGGAGGCGAGGGAGAAGGGAGAGGGTTGTATCATGCACGAGTGAAATAAAGGGGTAAACAAAGAGGCACCAAAAATGAGTGATTTTCACGTGGGACACAGGGCGAAGTAACGAGCAATCTGTTATCCTCAACATGGCTTTTTATTTTTCATCCTAAAAATGAGACCCTGTAGCATGTCCTCACTACCTCCCGTATATTTTATCGCGTGTCTTGTGGCCCCCCCTTGGGTATTCTTTTCAACATTATGGCTCTCCATTCTGTACATTGTTTTTTTTTAGGGCGCAATATTTACCTCGGCTCAGTTACATCCGACGCACATATGTGCATTAAAAGAGGGAGAGTAGAAGTAAAAACAAGCCTCGCACTGGCCATTATCGATTAGCTGTGTCTCGGCACATCGGGAGAGAAATTAGGGGGATGGGGCAATATGGAACGTGTGGGGGAGTTATAATAGGGGTTTCTAAATGAAGTTTCTGATATTTAACTGATGATTGTTGGCGGTTTATAAGCGATTGATTGAATTTTTTTATTTTTACTGGAAATTTTATGTTTACGATGTTGGACCCTGGTGACCCTTGCGGCCCTTGCGGTAAAAAATATCATTAACTCTTTGCTACATTCAATAAAAAGACGAAGAAACGTTATATCAAGGGGATTTTGTGCGCACAATGTTTGACCCTTGCGGCCCTTGCGCTGAGAAATGTCGTTACCTACTTGCAATATCAAATAAATAACTAAAAAAAACGATATAGATATAATAGGGGTTTCTAAATTAAATTTCTGATATTTAGCTGATTATTGTTGACGGTTTATAAGGGATTGATTGAATTTTTTTATTTTTACTGGAAATTTTATGTTTACGATGTTGGACCCTGGTGACCCTTGCGGCCCTTGCGGTAAAAAATATCATTAACTCTTTGCTACATTCAATAAAAAGACGAAGAAACGTTATATCAAGGGGATTTTGTGCGCACAATGTTTGACCCTTGCGGCCCTTGCGCTGAGAAATGTCGTTACCTACTTGCAATATCAAATAAATAACTAAAAAAAACGATATAGATATAATAGGGGTTTCTAAATTAAATTTCTGATATTTAGCTGATTATTGTTGACGGTTTATAAGGGATTGATTGAATTTTTTTATTTTTACTGGAAATTTTATGTTTACGATGTTGGACCCTGGTGACCCTTGCGGCCCTTGCGGTAAAAAATATCATTAACTCTTTGCTACATTCAATAAAAAGACGAAGAAACGTTATATCAAGGGGATTTTGTGCGCAGAATGTTTGACCCTTGCGGCCCTTACGCTGAGAAATGTCGTTACCTACTTGCAATATCAAATAAATAACCAAAAAAAAACAATATAGGTATAATCGGGGTTTCTAAATTACGTTTCTGATATTTAGCTGATTATTGTTGACGGTTTATAAGGGATTGATTGAATTTTTTTATTTTTACTGGAAATTTTATGTTTACGATGTTGGACCCTGGTGACCCTTGCGGCCCTTGCGGTAAAAAATATCATTAACTCTTTGCTACATTCAATAAAAAGACGAAGAAACGTTATATCAAGGGGATTTTGTGCGCACAATATTTGACCCTTGCGGCCCTTGCGCTGAGAAATGTCGTTACCTACTTGCAACATCAAATAAAAAACCAAAAGAACGTCAGACTTAAAAATTCCATCTCCCCAAACTGTTACCCTCGTGACCTTATTGACGTTTTAAACAAAACATCATCCCCCTCTTCTCCCATTTGACCCTTCCGCCCTATAACCCCGAAAAAAAAACAATTTTCCGAATTGAAACCATCAGCCAAAGTCTCTCCAGGTATTCTCGTCTACATGTAATTGTTGGAACAGCCCGAAAATGAGAGGAGTTTTATAAATAGCCCACGGAAAGACCCCACGCCTTCTCATAAACCAGCTTCTTCTTCAAGAAAGCCACGTAAAAGTTATATTTTCCCTCGATGAGAGCAAAAAAAAAAAGCTCCAACTCGGGTACTTTATTCTCCTCGCAAAGCGAGAAAAACCGTCCAAATGACATGTTTTTTCCCCTCACTTTTTTTTTATCATTCACCGGCTGACGGCCATTATTATTCCTTTCGCTAGCCGGAAGTTGGTTGTTCTGTTCTGTTCTCTGCAGAATGCAGCGGTGCAGATTCGATTATAGCCTCCCCCCCTTGTCACGAGTCACTGGGAATAAAGTATGCAATTTTTTTTTTTTTCGTCATTTCGCAGATATAAGGCTGCAATTGAACGAGCAGCTGAGATGTCTCGACGTGAGAATGGAGTCCCAGGTGGCACTGGTAGCAGAACTGCAGGACTTCTTCCGCCGAAGAGCGGAACTAGAGTTAGATTACAGTAAATCGTTGGATAAAATGGCGAGGAGTATTCAATTAAGGCATAAGGAGCAGAAACAGAAGTGAGTAAAGATAGCGATGAACGAAGTGGGTTTCGTTCAGGGGTTGGTTGTGGAGGAATATCACGGAATATAAGGGAGACGAAGGAATTTTTGTGAGAATCCTGAAGAAGAATCTCTAGGAGATATTCCTCGAGAACCCAGCAGAGGGCATTTTTTTAAATAAATGAGTACAGTAATTGTTCCTAATAAATTAGCAATTGGCTTCCAAATGATTCTCTTTTTTGAATGTCACAGTACTATCATCAATTGAAATGTCATGAAAATTTTTTGGATTACAGTAGACTCTCGTTATAGTCGCATTCGTTATAGTCGCATTTCCCCTCATATCGATTTTTTCGAGCTCGAGCGCTTCCCCCACTCCGTACCACCTCCGAGGTGTGGATTTAAATGCCCCTGTGTTTTCTCGGAATGGGCTTTGTTTTGCATTTCTAAGAAATTCGGGAAATAAAATTTAGGAAAAATGAATTTGCGAGAGAGAAATTCAGTTCACTCTTGACTGTCACGAAGAGAGGGTCTTTGCAGTGGTGCATAATCCTGCTTTTTATTTGAATGAAGTGAATAAATTTTGGAGTGTATTGAACAATGCGATGTTATTAATATTTCTATTCATTTCATTAATTTACTAAAAGTGTTCAACGCAATTCATTTTGTTAATTTAATAAAAGTGTTTAATGAAAATAATTTTTATATTTAATAAAAATGTTCAATGCAAATTGAAGAGAAAAATAATTGGAGTAAAATTTATTTTCTTATCGCTCCCGATTCCCGGAATTTAGGCTTACCGTGAGCGCCTGGTGGGGGAAGAGAAATACAGTCCCATTCTCAGAATCGGCTGCCCCTACAGCCCCGTGAGTGCGACTATAACGAGAGTCTACTGTACTTCGTTCTGTCAAATAATTCAGTGTCCGCATTGCTCCACTTAAACCTAACAAGATCACCTTTTACACCCCCAGGAGGGAGCAGTGGCCCTTATTCTCGAGTTACGCTTGCTGGCAGCAGCTAGTGAATGAGACTAAATCCCTGAGCCGAGACCACGCTGCCCTATCCGAGGTGTACAGTACCCACCTCGTGGGACGTCTCAATCAAGTTATGGAGGACGTGCAGCGTATCTACCGTCGCTGTCGTGAAATAGGTTACGAGACACACGAAGAAATTCTCAGGGTGCTTCACGAATTGCACACGACAATGAAGACTTATCAGGCTTATCAGGGGGAGTCGAGACAGGCGGAGACTAAACTCCGAGTTGCTGAGCAACAGAGGAGTAAGCTCGAGGTGACAAATGCACCGCCTGAGAAACTAGCTAGGAGTAAAAAATACAAGCTCATCGAGAAGGAAGTGAACAAGGTTTGCATTTGAGAATAAATTTCAACCCTAGTTTGGTGCACCATATGAGAACTTGCGACTTTGGTCACCACCGCAGGGAATCGCTGCCGTGTTATTTAGCCCCGAGAGCGTTGCCGAATTCACTCTACACTGCCCGGGCGCGTTTAGCGAGACTTCGGCAACGTCGCACGACGGGCAATTTCATTTAACGTGGGAAAAAATTGCCCGTCTGTTAGAAATCATTTTTTCTCTTCAGGAATTGTGGATATAAATAATTTTTAAAAATATTATAATTTTCTAGACACTTGAATTGACGCATTCCAATTTTTTAGGATTTTTCCGCTCAGCCAGTCAATGCTAAGAAAAAAAAATCGACCTTCTGCGGCGTTTCCCTCCTACGGTGACCAAACTAGGGTTAACGAAATGATAAACTGGGATAAGTCAAAAATGGAATTGTTTCAGGAGAGTTGAAAAATTTGAGCACGTTTCGGAGAACTTTCGATTCAAGCCAGGAATAGCAATATTCATAAACTCATAATTACCGTTAAATTTTGAAGTTATCAATTAGTTAACATCACTCTTAAAATTTTAATTACGAGATCAATCATTATGATTGATTTTATGTGATTCATCATATTGAAGAAATATAATGTGCAAAAGCCATAGAACATTTTCCGAAAAAATTGCACTTATCCTAGTTTACCACTTCCCTACAGAAATATGGGGGGGGGGCATGTCTATTACTCAGGAAAAATGATAAAGGGCCAAATA